CACTCTGCACACGCCCAGAGACCCGCCGGCGGCACCTGATGCAACAGCGGCGAGCGCGGGGCCGGTGGCTCCGCCCGCCTCTTCCTCCTCCGCCCCGAGTGCCGGGAAAGGCCACGCGTCGCCTGCGGGCCGCGCTGCACGTCCGCCCCGGGAGGAGGAAGGCGGGCCCGCCCGGCCAGGCTGGGGCTTTCCGGCCCCGCGGCTGCCGCCTCCGGAGAAGGACTCCGACTCGCCTCCCGCCCGGGCCGGCCGCGCCATGCCTCGCCCGCCGCTTCGCCGCCTCCTCCTCCTCCTCCTCCTCGCCCTCGCCGCCGCCCAAGAGCAGCCGCCGGGGGCAGCTGGGTCCGCCGAGCGGCGCTGCTTCTGCCAGGTGAGGTCGTGGGGAAGGCGGCCGACGCGTGTCGAGTCCCCCGGGGGCGCGGTGGGAACGCGGGACGGACGCGGGCGGCGCGCCTCGTTGGGGGAGTCCGGAGGGGCGGGGAGGGCGGCAGCCGGGCCGGGGACGAGAGGCGGGGAGAGGGACCGAGGGGTCCCCCTGGGCAACAGGAGTCTCCGGAGTAGGCTGCCCGTTCCGTTCACACGTGTAGTGCACGTGCTTAGCATAAGAGCGTAAGAGAAGCCAGTGTTCCTGTCTATAAGAACATAAAAGAAGCCAATGTTGGATCAGGCCAGTGGCCCATCCAGTCCAACACTCCGTGTCACACAATGGCCAAAAACACCAGGGGCCCTCAGGAGGTCCAGCAGTGGGGCCAGGACACCAGGAGCCCTCCCACTGTCCCCCCCCCCCAAGAATACAGAGCATCCCTTGCCCCAGACATAAGAACATAAGAGAAGCCATGTTGGATCAGGCCAGTGGCCCATCCAGTCCAACACTCCGTGTCACACAATGGCCAAAAACACCAGGGGCCCTCAGGAGGTCCAGCAGTGGGGCCAGGACACTAGAAGCCCTCCCACTGTTGCCCCCCCCCCCCAAGCACCAAGAATGCAGAGCATCCCTTGCCCCAGACATAAGAACATAAGAGAAGCCATGTTGGATCAGGCCAGTGGCCCATCCAGTCCAACACTCCGTGTCACACAATGGCCAAAAACACCAGGGGCCCTCAGGAGGTCCAGCAGTGGGGCCAGGACACTAGAAGCCCTCCCACTGTTGCCCCCCCCCCCCAAGCACCAAGAATGCAGAGCATCCCTTGCCCCAGACTGAGAGACTTCCTACGTATAGCTTGTGGCTAATAGCCACTGATGGACCTCGGCTCCAGAAGTTTATCCCATTCCCTCTTGAAGTCGTGCTTGTAGCCGCTGCCACCACCTGTGGCAGTGAAGTCCACGTGTTGATCACCCTTTGGGTGAAGAAGGACTTCCTTTTCTCCCTTCCAGCCCCACTGCTCAGCAATTTCATGGAGTGGCCCAGGAGTTCTCGTATTGTGAGCTGCTCTATCCCACGCATCTCCCTTATAAATAAAAGCCGAATGGTGGTGGCACTTCTCTAGAACATTCCACACGCTCCAAAATCAGTTCGCTCTCTGATCTGTCATTCAGAGGGTCTCCCTATCCACTGGCTGCTTTGCCTGAGTCCTGCCTCCAACATTCTAAACATTTTGCTGTTCCTCTCCCCCCCATAGCCAGTCAGAACTCAGAGGTTATTTGCATATGCAGCCTCATTGGCCTTTGCCTCAGAACACAGAGGTTATTTGCATATGCAGCCTCATTGGCCTTTGCCTCGGAACACAGAGGTCGTTTGCATATGCAACTTGATTGGCTTTTGCCTCTAACATTCTAAACAGTTTTGCTGTTCTGAGGTAAAATGTGTCCAATCTCCAGGTGAGGGCTGGAGATCACTCAGAATTACAACTGCTTTCCAGATGGCAGAGATCAGTTCCCCTGGAGAAAATGGTGGGCTCTGTATCCTTATATGCTGCTGAGGTGGCCCCCATATGACAGCCAATGTGACGACGTAGCAGTCAGGGCTTCAGAGCACAGGAGAGGCTGCAGGTGTGTGGGGGAGGGGAAATAAAGGTAAGTTGATGGTTGGCTAGGAAGGATATAGGGTTGCCAACTCCAGGTGGGAAATTCCTGAAGATGTGAGGGATGGAGCCTGGAGAGGGTGAGGTTTCAGGAGGCGTGGGACCTCGGACAGGTACAAAGCCATAGACTCCGCCCTCCAAACCAACTATTCCCTTCTGGGGAACCATCGTTGCCAATCTCCAGGTGAGGGCTGGAGATCACTCAAAATTACAACTGTTCTTTAGATAGCAGAGATCAGTTCCTCTGGAGAAAATGGTGGACTCAGTGTCATTATACCCTGCTGAGGTCGCCACAGCAAATTGACACTGAGTGTCCAAGGCCGGGGTACCGGCCCAGAGCCTCTTTCTAGAGGCTGTTGTATTTATTTCCACAATGGGCCTTTTTCCTAGTAAGCTTATAAACCTCAATCATGTCACCCCTCAGCCGTCGTTTCTCCAAGCGAAAGAGCCCCAAGCGCTTTAACCTTTCTTCATAGGGAAAGTGTTTCAACCCTTTTATCATTCTAGTTGCCCTTTTCTGTACTTTTTCCAAAGCTATAATATCCTTTTTAAGGTGTGGTGACCAGAACTGTACACAGTACTCCAGATGAGGTCGCACCATCGATTTATAGAGGGGCATTATGATACTGACTGATCTGTTTTCAATACCCTTCCTAATAATCCCCAGCATAGCGTTGGCCTTTTTTGTTGCGGTCGCACACTGTCTCGACGTTTTCAGTGAGTTATCTACTACGACTCCAAGATCTCTCTCTTGGTCAGTCTCTGCCAGTTCAGACCCCATCAACGTATATTTAGAGTTAGGATTTTTGGCTCCAGTGTGCATCACTTTGCACTTGGCCACGTTGAATCCCATTTGCCACGTTGAGGCCCACTTCTGAGTGTTGGCAGACTGCCTTGCTGAGCTGGCCTTGCTGGGAAGGTGGGGTAAAAATCTAATAAATAAATAAGTGGACGCCACCTGGACCCTGAATGTTTCAGAGCATTGGTGGGATGGACACGTGTTCAAGCATTTGCACCAAGAAACGTGCGACAGGGATAGAGCAGGGGTCTCTGCAGTGAGGTGGGGGGGGGGGGTGAAGTGGCTGTGAATTTCCTGCATTGTGTAGGGGGTTGGACTGGATGACCCTTGAGGTTCCCACCAGCTCTATTTTTCTAAAATTGCTCCGATGCAGGAGCTGGGGCCGTTAGGATGCTTGTTTCCCTCCCAGTCACCATCAAAATGCCATTAGCTATTTGCCTTCTTGTCACCTTAAGCCGATTTGCTGGAGGGTATTCTAAACAGATAGTTCTCCCTTGCCAGTGCCTTGGAGGTATTCTGCTCCTGAACGTGGAGGCTCTCGTGCTCCTTTAAGCCAAACAGCAGCACCTCTTCTCTGCCTTAGGCCAGCTTCTGCATGTGACCGAGCTGTTCCTTTTATGCAGTGTGTACAATCAGATGATATTTACATTTTGCATTTGTGTGGTGCCATTGTACGGGTTCTATTATGGCTTGTTAGTCATCGTCACGAGGGAAGGTCGGGGCAAAACGTTTGAATAAATAAGACTGGGAAAGCTTGACGTCATTATTAAGTGGTTATTATTAATGGGATCGGCTTGATTCCTTGCGACAATGTGGCACGGTGGTTCGAGTGTCGGACGAGGATCTGGGTTCGAGTCCCTACTTGTGCCGTGGTAGTTTGCTGTGGGTGACTTTGGGCCAGTCACACCCTCTCACAGGGCTGTTGTGAGGACAAAAATATGGAGAAGAGAACAACTTTAAGCCGTCTTGATTCTCCATTGGGGAGAAAGGTGGAACATACATTAATAATTATTTAATTTAATCTCTTGATTATAGGGAGCTGATTAAGTCTCCCTTTTATTCTTCTTCTGTTGCCGTCCTTGTTGGGGCTAATTCAGGGCCCATTCCTAGCTTTGACTTGCAGGGCTCAAGTTGTCCTGAGGAAAACACGACAAAGTCTTGAGAAGGTTCCCTCCAAAGCCCATCTAAATGAGTCCCGTGGGTCTTTCTTCCTAGAAAAACAAATTTAGGATTATTCCTTTATTTGGTTACTTCATTTGTATCCTGCCGTTCGAGACCCGAGTGCCGCGTGACGGAGTGAGCTCCCGTCTCCGGCCCCAGCTCCTGCCAAACTAGCAGTTTGAAAGCAAGAAATTGCAAGTAGATCAATAGGTACGCTTCGGTGGGAAGGTAACAGCGTTCTGCGCGCCTCTGCATCTCGTCATGCCGGCCACATGACCACGGAAAAAGTCTTCGGACAGCGCTGGCTCTTCAGCTTGGAAACGGAGATGAGCACTGCCCCCTAGAGTCGGATTTGACTGGCTTTCGAGCAAGGAAAACCTTTACCTTTAGTTTTCTCCCCAGTGGAAACCCAAGGTGGCTTACATCATTCTCCTCTCTTCCATTTTATCCTCACAACAACCCCTTGAGGTAGGTTCGGCTGAGGGTCTGTGACTGGCCTCAGGTCACCCAGCATGACAGAGTGGAGATTTGAACCTCTTCCTCTGACATCCTAGTCCAACACTCTAACCACTACACCACGCCGGCTCTCAATTACAGCCCTAATGGCCTGATCCTAGAGGCGTTTGCTCAGCAGTAAGTCTTGTTATGGGATTGTACTGCTGAAGAGGCAAGCCGGCAGCGAGTCGAAACAGTGACTTGCCTCTTCGGTAGTCCAGCGCTGTATGTCAGTCGTTTTCTGGTTGGTTCTTTTTTGTTGCTTCCACCCAACCCTTCTCCAGGCCTTGCACAGAGTGAGAAACTGGGTGGTGTACCTATTAATACTAGACAGAACATTAAGCTACAATCAGATGAATGAAATCAGTCTGTAGTCGATTAATTTCTGGGGGGTTTGTGGCAGGCCGTGGGAACTGAGGGTATCCTTGTTTCTTCCTTAGGCTACGTTGTCTCTGGTTACGGGAGCTGAATCTGTGCTTATTAAATTGTAGTAAAACGGGCTCTTGCTTCCGTGCTGCAAAATAAGCCTCTGTCTTGCTTTCTTGAGGAGACCTGGGTTCGAATCCCCGCTGAGTGAGCTTGGGGGCTCTTATACATACTTGGCCAGCCTGACTGACCTACCTCACAGGGATGTTGTGAATAAAATGGGATGACGCCCCGGGGCTCTGTGGAGAAGCGATAAACAATACAAATGCGATTCAAATATGCATATTTATTTGATGAAAAGGCAAAACCAGGGCTATTATTATTATTATTATTAATAATAATAATAATAATAATAATAATAATAATAATAATAATAATAATATACTTTATTGTCATTGTACAT